TGTTTTAATAAAAATATCCCGTCGTTAATGTGTTAACATCCTCGTTCTCCTTGCTGAACTTGATGAAGAATTTTCTAAATTTTGATTGCTCCATTCGTCGAAAAACACTGACAATATAATTTGTTTTAGATATCTTAGAAACGCCTAAGTATAAATCGGCTAAAGATGCTACGATTACAAAATTGTAATTATATTTTTATAGTTTCAAAGTCTCCGTGTAGATAAGAATTGTGCCCCGTTCGTGGCGTCGGCGGCTAATTCAGTTTGATCCGACTATATCCTCATCAGGGATCTGATTACGCGTTGATACCGTGGCGATGCCTGTAACGATGCAACCCGAACTACAGCGATGCATATTGTGGAAAATAGATCCACGGGGGACGGTCGCGCGGCTGCAAGCTCTGTTTCAGGCATGGCTCTCCCGCTATCTCCCTCTCGCACTCATTAAGCCGATGCAGCGTCGGCGAAGATCAAAGCTCGTCTTCTACGGAGGACCGCTTAATACTGGGTGGCGAGTTAAGAGTGTCGTAAAAATTATTAACGGTCCCTCCGCGCGCTTGTGCCTTATCGCTGGATCGCCAACTACAGTGGGGTGCATTCGTCGAACCCACTACCACAATATGCAATGACATTTCCTCTCCCGCTTTCGTCCCCCCCCCCCCTCTGCATCCTTAATTCATATTTGGGACTTTGTACTCGTCGAAGTTTATTTCACCGACGATCGGTTAATTTCCATGGATTTTTTTGGTACGCGAACGACAATCGACCGGAATCGTTAAACGCGTTTAAAGAAACCCCAGAAGCAGGAAAGTGTATAACTGTATATTAATTAATTAATTAATGCTGTACGGTACATTAATTTACAGTTATCGATGCTCGGTACGAGAGTCGCGGTCGTAACAACTACGGTCAATTTTTTTCCTTTTCCAAAGAAACGTACTTTCTTTGATATTAAGAGCAACCATTATTGCGTTTCGTTCTGGATCCGCTGGTGGAATCTTCGCGAAGGGATCTTGCCTTAAACGCGCCTATTAGTCGAGAAAGATCTTAATATCAGCCATCTAGTGGCTCGAAAAGGGAACGTTGAAATTTAATTAAAGACTGCTAAAAGGAAATGAGTAATTCCAACGATGCTCGATTTCTCAATAAATTCGAAGAAAAATGTTTAATTCGTTTGGTGGATACGTTTGGTATTTATAGAATTTTAAAAACGTTGCTTTTAATATTGACGAATGATATTTCTTTGAGACTTATGTCATCCATAAATAAGAGTCCTTCAAATTCAAAAGCAATTACGGGTTGTAAACAGTGCTGGGGCATGTAATCTGGTGCTATGTATTCTGATTACGTTTGTCACGATTACATCTATAAAGTAATAGCACTATAATTACAGGGTAATTATCGTAAATCGTTAAACCGTATAATTAACGTGTAATTACTTTATAGAAGTAATCGTGGGGAGTGTAATCAAATTAAATTTTCCTTAATATTTAATCTAAATTAAATGCATCTATTTCTAGCGATTTGAATAATAAATTTGAAAACGAACTTTCTGGCAAAGTTCAAGATATCTTTTCTCCAACCGATAGTAAGAGTGATCGAGAACTTTTTTAAAATATCTGTTCCCGACCCGCAACTTTTTCTCATAAAAGTTCCATTTCAACTGTTCCGACGAAGCCTAGTGAAAAAGTTCCACGACTGTTTCGACTCCTGAAAAATACTGTTTCTTTCGTTGCTATCTTAATCCGTGTCGGGTAGTCAACGAGAACAGTCGCGAGAGGTCTTCCGAATCGGTGAACGAAATAAAGACACGCGTCGGTCCGTATCGGAATCGAAAATTGTCTCGTATTTGGTGGAACAAGGTGTCGGGCTTGGTATCGCGGTGGGTGGTCGCGTATTTACACATTACCTCTTTCGATCTGCCAGTTTATCTCGCTCTCTCTTTCCCCCCTCTTATTTAATTTTCTCTGTCCCTTCTGCTCTCTGTCTCCCTTTCACACACGATGGCTCTGTCCTTCTTTTCACACTGCTCCTCACCGCGCGTCATACACGTGCTCACGAATATTGAGTGCGTGTGAGAGGCTGCCCAATGAGCGTTCCGGCGTGGAACACGCGCGCGCGCGCGCGCTCACGCACACGCGAAACGACGCACGGAAGTGGTATACGACGCCTAATGAAGTCGCATCGTTATGCAGATATTATGAAGACAGGTTAATAAGTTAATCGTCCGGTGTAACGCTCTTCCCCGTGGCTTAATGAACTTATTCGAAAATGCTGTTCCTTTCTCTACCCGTGCACCGGGGTGCCGTGTTTCGGCTTTATATTAAATTATTATTGCTCGTCCTGCATTTCCTCAAAGTGTACAAATAGAATCAAAGAAATAGGTCCGGTTAAAAAATCGAACACTTTGCGTTGAATGAAGTAATCACGATTTTCACAACAAATAAAAAACATAGATGGAATTAATGGAAGATTAATATTCTGGTAAAAAGGATATTAAAATAACAACAAAGCCATAGACGTTGAAGGTAAAACGTTTATTCGATTATACACGCATGAGATAACAATAATAACAGGACAGAATGCGGTTAAACCCTATACTTACTACCGCCAATCAAATCATAACCAGTGGCAGCGGAGACGCGTATAATAAATTATGCAGATTTGCTTGAGTATGCGGTGGCGGTGACGGTGGTTGCTCTGCGGTAAACTCCCGTATTTCCGGCCTCGATTATTATTGCCCAGAGCAGCAGCGATTTCGATCTCCAGAGGCCCGTAAGGGAGTCGTGTTTACCTTCGGTACATCGGTGGCCCTCTTCCGCTCGTCTTCGACTCTCCATCGCACGTCAACCACGTTCACTGCGCTCCTCCGCTCGCCCGGACCTTTTCCACTACAGAGAACGCAAGAAGCGTATACAAAACTTCTCAAAACGGTGTGGAGGCTATGACGAGAAGAGAGCGAAGAGAACGAGGGAACGAGAGAGAAGGAGATGCTGCGGCGATCTGTAAGCGCCCTTGTGTGCCTCGTGCGTATCACGTAGCCACTGCCGTGTGTAGGTAATGTTTTTGCTCGAGGGGAAATGGTACCGCGTGTGTGGTCCTGCGTCGTGCCCCCTGCACCCCCTGTGATGGCACATCGCCGTATCCTAGCAACGTAGAACGCCACGCCGATTCGGCCAATCACGAATGAGTTCCGATCGCTTCGGCTCCGCTCGGCTCATCTCGGCTACGACGTCATCGGTAACTCCAGGAACGTACCACTGTGCCGCGAAAATTGAGATTCACGACATTCCTGTCACGAACAAAATTACGAACACGGTATTCGGTCATTTTCCTTTGTAGATTCGTTGATTTTTCATGCCTAAACATTTAAACAAATAAATTTGGTAGATATCGGTACACTGAAGAATAATATTTACGTATGCCGTAAACGTAACCTAACGTAAGAATACGTTATTTGTATATTTCGAAGAGGATCAGCATCTAGCTAACAGCTAAATAATGAAAAGCGTATGTACTTACCTGCACTGTATTGTTCTATCAGTAAAATAATTATCCACGTAACACTAATTAGATGAAAAAACCACAAACCAAACAATTTATAATATTCGAGTATTAAAATTATATTCACTGAATATTAAAATCACTCGAGTGTTCGAATATTTGAATAGAGAAAAATTTGACGAGCAGTCTCGGTCCTAATCTAATCGAGGCCCATTGGTAAGGTCGTAGAATCACGGCCCTGAATGTTTGTGCAGCTCCGATCTCGGCGAGTGGCGCCGTTGGAGGGGGGCCGTCAACTATGGCCGGCGCAGAAGGCAGGCCACGAAAGAAATGTGGCAGCGCATTTCGTTTAGTACGGACTTAGACTGCTCTAAGTGGCGGTCACGCACGCCGGTGTCCGATCACGACGACGACGTCGTTTTAGAACGCGTGACAGAGAAATTCCTAAACTTTAACGAGAGTTTCCAGCTGCCCTTGCTGGACCGTGGAATACTCACATCTCCTGACGTCGCCTACGCCTTCTTGCGTAAACCGGATACTCGTCACAGCCGCGCATATACGAATTCGGTAGTCGTGGCGAATTTCTTCGAACGTAGTGTGAATTTTCGAACGAGATCTAACCGTGTCAAGTGACAACGATCGTGACAGTGACACTGAAGTGCGCGTGGCTACGTGCCACGCCAATATCGTGCCGATAGAGGCCCGATGCATGTTGCCTTCGTTAACACTGTATCACACGCATTTATGTTGTTTTTATGACACAAGAAGAAACACGCGCATACGAAAGTGCGGCAAGCGTCGTGCGAAAACAGCGGACGATCGACGATACCGTGGACCCGGTTGTCGCGTGATATTTCAAAACAAGCGAACTCGCGTGTGCGCCCTCGTGCTTGTCGGCGGTACTGTGAATCCCGCTAGAGGGAGATACAGAAGAGACAGAGAGAGGGAATACGAGGATCCCGCAGAAAAAGCAAGAGTGAGAGGGGGATAGAGAAAGAGACAGAAGGTAAAGACGAATCGGCGAAGAGGGAGCAGTTACGTATTTACTCTTCTACGGTGGTACGAAGCTAACCTAAAAACCGATACTCGGTCCGTTTTGTGCGTATACCATCGATGGGCACGATACAGCCGCGCATGCGCAGAACAAGTTGTGTGTACCTCGTGCGCGAATTTCGATTACTGTGCTGGTCGCACGTACACGATGTCGAGAAATCGCGCGGTAAACAGGAATGACTGATCGAACGTGTGTTGTGAGATGTGTTTGACGAAAGGTTCGTGCGAGAATAACGTGTAAGCACGGTAGCAGTGAGTGTGAAATCGTTTTCGTGTTCTTCGTGTCTCGTGTTTCGTTCCCCGACGTCGTGTCCGCGATCCGTAACGTTTCGCTTAGGGAAGAGAAACTCGGGCGATTTAGTTGAAAGAAACGTCTCTGGGGAGGGAGAAATATTACAAATAATCATACTGCGAAGTGTGCCGGGGCGAATGCATGACGGATCATGGTTTCTGCGTCCGGCCCCACAGGGATCCTAGCGGGACGCCCTTCTGGTTCTCAGTGCCATCAAAGTTTGTCGTCCCACAATGGAAGTACGTCCAAAGTTCACAGCGAAAAGCATGTAAAAACCCACGTAGAAAGCGCGAAGGAACGACACGAGTCAGACCTTTATATCAGGCCAAGTTGGACCGATGCTGCGATTGCGTTGGATCAACTCGAAAAGGTACGTTTCTGTCACGAATATAAAAACAGTTGTCCACGAGTATTTTGTATTCTATCATTTTAAATGCACCATAAACAAAAGATTATCAAACACTTGTTACAAGCTCATTATAGATTAGTTCAACGTTTATCAAATTCGAGTCTACTTTTCCGAATTTCATGATATTATTCTTTGCGTAATTTTCATTGCTTAATAAGACTGGTATTCCTAATGTGAGGAAAACACGTGTGAGTGTAAACGTGTTCCGTAACATCGTTTGCATTTCGTGATCCGTGTATTTAGAAAAGTAGGTACAATTGTATAAACTGAACCGATTCCAGCGAACGAAAATCGTTTTGGGTCACGGTAAACGCGAGCAGAATGGCAGGTTTAACGAGGGGTGCGTGTGTATTACTAGTTTACGCGTGATTTGCATGCGGAAAGAAAAACAAGGGAGTAGTACGTATCGTGGATAAGCCAGACGTGCCTTACGCCTGGCGTATAAGTAGCTTGTGGGTTTCCTATCGTGAAACGTCTAAGTAATCGATGAAGTACACGCTCTCTGCGGGTTGTACGGGCATCGCTGTCTCCACGAGCCCCTCGGTCAGTTACGCTAACCAGACGTAGATAATAGCGTGATCGCACGCCACTTCGTGAGTCCTCCTTTCGGTCGACAGTGGGACAAGATGAGAGTATAAATTTGATGCAAATTATGCTGCTGGTTTACGGTAACTGCGGTTGTTACTTTCTGTCAGGTATTACGACGCGCTTCCATTATAATACATCGAAAAGTGCTCTTAAACTACGGTTCCACGAATTCTCTTAATCGTAAGAATTTTGTTACCATGGGTATAGAATTTTGAAAAAATAGTTTCTCAGGAATTGTACACATTTCATATACAGACTTTACTCGTGTATTGTTTGTCGCAAGAATCGATTAATAATAACTAAAACTTGATATAGATAGGAAGAAATTTTTTTCAAGGTTACTTCAAGGTCACATTGTGTTTTTCAATAGTTTCTTTAGAGTTTATATTTTTCGTTTTGTAACATATCTGTAGGATAATTTGACTTTGAAATTTCTAATATAAATTCTTATTTTGCGGAGCTTTGATTTAAAAAATATTGAGTTTGAGTCTTTTAAAAGGAGTCTGTAGTAAAACACGGGGTTAAGAATCGCTACTATGCATAATTTAATTATTTCGTATGTGGGCGTTATCGGGAAGGAGAGTAGCCTCGAAAACAATGATTCGTTTTAGAAGAAGGAACCGAAGCTTCCGTGCACACTTAGTGGTATATACCCTTTCCACGAACGCCTCTCTAAATTCTCTTGCAGCTAGCTGTAAACTTTCACACACGCGGGTGGTCCGGAGACGTGTTTTTGAAGGTGAGAGCGTCGCGAGGCAGGGGTAGGGAGGAACGACGAAAGAAAGACAGAAGGATGGTTGAAGTATAGATCGACGAAGGATCGACTTCCTGCCAAGGAATACACCCTCCTTGTCTTCTGTGACACGAACCTCTCGCTCTCCTAAAAAAATCCCCCGACGAGGACAGGGACGACGATCTCGAGCAGTCTTGCGACACCGAGATCGTCCCTCGAGATCTTTCGATCTCGAATGCCAGGCAAAATGTGCACGGCACGTGAACCAGGGGCTATCGCCTTTCGAAACGGCCCAAACAGGGAGGGAGCCCTTTTCTTTAATTTTTCTGAGAACCCACCACCCCTGGTGCACCTTTCGGACACCTTCTGTCGTTAGGTTTCCCGTGTCTCATTTTCCATTTTCATAATATACCGTTTCACCTGCCCCTGCAATAGATTGGTATATTTAAATCAGGAAAACATAATTTTTTTTTTTTATCTTGTAAGTCGTCTTTTCGAAAAAGAACTCTAACACGGGCATCCTTCGACAGTCGACGCTCGATAACTTTCCCTTTTCGAAGTGGACCCACCACGAAGTCCCATTCATGCCACCCCGTCGCGAAGTATCCGAAAACTGCTCGCATTACACTAATAATAACAGTAATTACCGAGCGGTATTGGCACACAGCTTGCAACAGTAGAAATAATTCTTCTCGGAAGATTTTTTTTTCATCCCGAAACCCATATGTTGGACCACCCAGCAGGAACTTTTACGATACTGCGATGTTATCTTTAAGCGCTCTACGTATCGATGAAGTACGTCCTTCAGATTTACGCGTGCTCGAACGAAAAGCATGTCTTGGCCGCGTTTTCTTTCTTTCTCGTTCGGAGAACGAGTTCCATCGAAACGCACGGACGGGAGATTATCTGAAATCGCGTCTGTTTTTTGTATCCGCGTTTCTTTCGAAGATTACGATTAACAATTTCATTTCCTGCCTCGCACAAACGAGTATTTCATCTCGTGCAATTTCACGAGCCCGTCTTTATCCACCGTACGATATTCCCTGTTGCGTAATCCGCTGTTTCGAACAATCGTTTTGCCACATCGAACCCGAACGAATGGAGGCAAAGAAGCGTAGACAAAGAATAGCGGAAAGTAACCGCTTCGTAGGATGGAACCTTCGCGAGATTAGGTACTCCGCTTATGGGATCTCGTAGCTCGAATCTGGTTTGAAAAGGGGTTGCTGAACTTGTCGAGAATCGCACTACCACCGACATAACTATCACGCGCTGTTAATTTTGTGTAAATTAATTGCCTCTACATTTATCAACATTATACCCTTCGTCGTGCATCCGTGTGTATCCGCGTGATCTAACGCGAGAAAAAGAGACGAAGAAAAGTAGGTGAGCACTGTCAGTCAGTCACGACGATGCTTTTCGTCTTGTCGATCATTCGTGGAATATGTTCAAAGCACGAACTCTGTTCCAGTCGGACGACCACAGGTACATTCGCGACGTGGAAACAGCTTGTGTGACCACCCAGAGAGACTAGCTTGAGCAAAACGTTCTCAAGAACTGACGTTGGGTTCGCCTGTTACATATTATAGGTATACGTATCTCGAGTTGTTCTTTAGGAGGGATAACAGCAATTGAAAATAATGCGTTTCTTTTATTATCATCGCGGACAACTTTTCTCGACGATTACGCCGTTCAGGAGTCGCTGAAATTACACGTTAAACGTAGAGGTTCGAAACAATTTAACGTATGGAATAATTAGAAGTTTGTACAATGTAAAATCGCTCTAAGCTGTTTTTAAAATACCAAATAAAATGTATAAGATTCTAATTTGAGTTGAGTTATAAATATAAAAGGAAATAGTTTTGTGGGTTCTGTGAGCTTCCTAAAATGCAATAGCAATCGTAATTCAACTGTCTATTTAATTATTTTTATTGATATGTATTTTGCAAACTTTCTGCCCACTTAGACAAAGCTCGTAACTCGGTGGGCCCACTTAGACAAATCTCGTAACTCAACGGGCCCACTGGTACCTCCATATTTTACTGTCATTTAATGTCATACTTTACTGCCATTCAATGTCATATTTTACCGCCACAAGCGAACCCAGATGTCGCCCCCAAAGTATACAAGTGCGGTGGACTTCGTAGTTACTAATACAGACTAAACAACGAACGAAAGAAATTAACTACGACTGCCCAATCGCGGTAGTTGTAACTAAATGCAGTCGAAGCGATAATCGAACAGTTCGATAGTCGAATCTTCGAGTTTCGATAATCGATTAGTTCGATAGTCGAATCTTCGAGTTTTTTCGAGCTGTATCGATTCAACTATCGATAGGGGGTATCGAGGCGGTGGATGGCGGTGGCTAATTGATCGTAGCGACTAATAAACGGTGTCGCTAGTTGAATGAAAAAAGGTGAAGCGGTTAGAGGCGTTCTCGCGTCTAAAAATACGAGTACGCGCGAAATTCTCGATGCCACCGAGGGAACGGAGGAGCGCGAAAGAAGCGCCGCGGGCACCGAGGGGATTACGTGCATACGCTGCGAGGCGAGCGGTGCTCGTACGGGCGAGCCCCGCCACCCAGGGCGATCGGCGCGACTAAAGCGAACCGATCGCGCCGCTTCTCGCTCCCGTTTTATCGTTTACGCGATTGCACAATTACGATGTCACCGGCGGCGGGAGGTGGTGACAGTGGCGGCCGGCCGGCGTGCAACCGGCGACGGGGGAAAAAAGGACGAAATTCGGGGTCGACGGTCCACTTTTCTTGCCGGCCTCTCAAAAGGGAGAGCCACTCTGCGGCGGTGTGCGCCCCGCGTTCATGCCGGATGAGTCAGTCGGTCTCACGGGCACTGCCCCTACGATTCCTCTGTATGCATACTTGCGCGTGTGCATATAACTCTCAAACCTCGAAAGGGCTCGATTCTGGCTAGAGACGCACACCGTAACGCGCAATGAACAAAAGTAAAAACACTGAAGTATTTTTTGGGAGTGTTTTTGGCTTCCTGTACACAGTCATCGTAATATATCGATAGCTTGTTATTGTCCATTTTGGGTTTAATAATTTTATTTCAACTTTGTAATGCATTCTTCAGCCTTAAAAGGATCGTACTGGCAATTTATCGTGCTTCGATGTTTTTGAATTCCTATATCCGGTCATCGTCTAAATATAATAATATTTTACTCGACGTGTTTCTTATATTTTTGCATATTAAGTGCATTTTCTAGTTTTTTGACAATTTAAATTTCCCGTAAATGCATAAACATCCGCAGTCCACTCAAGTTTAATATATCGCCCAGATGGATCAGAAATATTCCTCTATTTCAGAATAAAAAATTTATTTCAATAACGACAGTAATAATGTCAACTTTCTTCCAGAAGTTTTAATAATGCGTTGCAAAATAGATAAATCACATTCAGAAATTCTAAGAATTCGTTCATGGACAAATTTTTTTATTTATTATTTCTCTTATTATTAATTGTATTATTTCTTGAGGAGTCTAGTTCCTTCAGTTCGTTTGCGTGAAATTCGTGGAAATACGATTCCTCCGAGTCGGGTAACCTTGATCCTGGTAGACGTGAACCGGAAGTGCGCATAATTTCTTTCGCGTTGTGTGTTATACGCGTCGATTACCACGCTCGATC